TGTTGATTGTCACAGGTTAACGTGAAGCAGCTTTTCTTCTCAAAACAGTAAAATGCATGCTCTATTTAGCTTATCTTTTGTTACGTTACGTTCTGATGTATAATCTAGAAGTATCTTTTAATTTTCACTTGACATTTCCACAATTAAATGTGATTGTTCACTGTGCAGTAAAAACTGTTTTTTACCTTACTCTCGGCTATTTTCTTCGAACTCCCGATAACTTGAACCTTGTTTCGATTTCCCTTGAAGGTTCGAGTTATCGGGAGTCGACTGTAGCTGAATTGTGATTTACAAATTAATCTCGAACAAAGTGACTAAATGTAACTGGAAATCATTCGTGGCATGATAAGCCTGCACTTATTTTCTTCAGTGAAAGCCAGCAACTAGTTGCCTACTTTCAAGTTTTCATATCTAATTAAATATGACAGACGGTAGCAGTGAGTGCTGCTGCAGCTGCTCTTTTGCGAATGGGTTTTTGCGATACAGACTTCACGAGGCAAAGTGCCGGGTCAACCGTCGACAACCGTGTACAGCTTCAAGTCCTTAAATCCACGATTCCACGGTCTTTAATGCTGGGCACTCTTGTTAGCCGTGCAGCAAAAACCCGGAGCAAAGAATATCCGTCTTCAACGTATAACAAAGGAGTATGATTTATTATTCAGGCAGAAGTGTTTCTTGATATCATAAAAGAAGAGTAGAGTAAATTCTTCAAAGATTACGACACCATGTTGCCAAACTGATCATGATTATTATATGAAACAAGGAAAAGCCTTTTTGAAATAGGATCGGAATGATCGACTGCAAATTTTAAACATACATAACCCACTGTTCTGTTACATGTAAAACTACAAAAAATGAACTCATTAAACTTTTAAGTAAAAACCAGACTGTAATTATTTTTAGAATTTATGTTAAACAGTTCAGTTTATATTCCAGTTTGTAAAGGGGAGATTCTTTTAGCGTTAATCTGTAGAGTAGCTGAAAACTACTGACTTTTGCAAGAGTGTAGTGACCACTTTAAATAAAGTCTGATTGTTAAAAGCATTATTAGATTTATAGCCTTGTCGGTTTGCGCGCTTTAAACTTTCACTTCGCTTAATTTGTGTGCCCCCAACGTGTCACAGTTAATTAACGAACAAGCCTCCAGCAGCCTAGCTAGGAAACTTTCTCCCAACTTCGCAAAAATAATGATTCACGTACAATGATATCACTAGCGCCCCGTCCACACTGATCCGAAACTGACTTTGAAAACGTTGCTATTTCTACAAAGTTTTCTAGGTCCTGGAAACTACTGAATCAGCAAAAACCGGCAAACAGTAGCAGCTGATGATTATCAAGTTTCTGATGCGGAAGGTTTTAATGATAAACAGTTTATGCTTTCAAAATATAATCAGACGTTTTAAGACTGACACATCTTGTGCCCCTCAAGTTGAAATTTGTTTCCATCCTATGGAAATTCGCGCCTCAGTTTTAATCTGTCCATATACCTTCTCTTGGGAAAGAGGGCGTTGTTTTTGTTTGTTATCGGAACAAGTTGAACTATTAACCATTTCGGAGTTGCGTAGGGAACTGAGGCGAGTTTCAAATTTAAACTAATCGATAAACTGACACCACCATATAATAGGTCATGTTCAGATTGGTTATTTGTCCAAGTTAGGTGCTCTAAAATTGAACAGGAATCAAGTTATGACTCTTGAAATATGGTTGAAGATCCACACAAACGTCTATAATTTTGTGACAGCGTCCCCCAAAACCATGTAAACTCTTTAAAATTTTTCAGTCTTTCTTTTAAACTGTAAAATTCGTCATGCATCTACTACTTGGAAGGAAATAATTCGAAAATCACTGTGTTTGCCCGTTTTTAGGAATATCACAGAAATCGTGAAAAAGAATTAAGAGTTTATATGGTTTTGGGGGACGCTGTCACAAAATTACTGAGGTTTGTATGGATCTTTAACCATGTTTCAAGAGTTATAACTTGATCCCTGTTCAACCTTAGAGCAGCAAACTTGTCCAAAAAACCAATCTTAAACATGACCTTTCATATGGTGGTGTCAGTTTATCGATTAGTTTGAATTTGAAACTCGCCCCAGTTCCCTACTCAACTCCGAAATGGCCAATTAAACTTTCCCTTTTGGTTGTCAAAACGTGATTTTAGTTAACTGTAGCATACTAAAGTGTCTTTGCAGTTAAGACTCTGTTAACCCAAAGAGAAAGATTTGCAAAATATTTTCGAATATCCTGGTAATTGCATGTTAATGATGAAACCCATGTAATCTGATAAATTATAATGAAATAATATCGAGGTTTTGGGGAATCAAACCCGTGAAATCTATTATTTATCCTCGAAACTCATAACGCATTCTCTACGCCAATTAACCTAGTCAGTCTCAAGCTTCTACAACTCTACACTTCCCTTGCACAATAAGCTTCAGCTGAATGTGGATCTGCTAGTTTCAAATTTACGTAGCGAGGTTTCAAGAGAGCAAGTTATGATCATTTCACATATACAGTGCGAAACCATCTTCAAAACAATGCAATATTAACCCCGGCCCTATTCTCTTTTTAATTTCATTAAAAAAGTGGTTATTTTCAGAATAGCGATCTTTGATTGACTACACGTAGATATTGAAACATCAACTGCTTTAGCTTAGAATTCTGCGCGATGTTTTCTACCAGGGGCACCCAATGGATCTGTTCCTCAAAATATCTGTTCTTCAGGCAAATTTTTGCTGGCTGGGAGAATTGGAAAAAATAATATGTTCTTGGAAGGAAAATGATGCTGGGAAATTGGAAATTCATGATGTCTGAAGGGATTTGATGTCTAAAATAGCTGCTATGTGCTGTCAGAAACCCTCTTAGCCATATCCCCTTCCCGCCTCCCCCGCGCTGAAGGGGTTATTTTCTCACTTAGGCCACACCCAATTTCTTATTGAACGCCCCTTCCCCCACTGAAGGGCTGAATTTTGCTATATGACCGCACCCAAACTGGGCAGTAATGTCTGGACATACGTCTGTTGGGAAACTTCCCAGAAAGTCAGGTTGCGGGTTGTACGTGCACCTTGCTGGCTGGGAACTCTTCCATCAGACTTTCTGGGAGTGAAAAACAGATAAATTTTTCCCAGCAATCTCCCAAAATGCTTAAAATGGCTTCAGAAATCTTTATTCATGCTTTGTTGTTGTTTTCAGGTCTTTTCCTCAAAATTTTCCGTTGGGAGTCCCTAGTCTAAGCTGGCTAGGCGTATCCACGAGGTCGTGATTGTTCTCTCTCAATTCGCGGACCCGACTATCTCAGACCCTGGAACAGGCTACTCTTTCGCTGGTGGCGAATTTCCGCCTTATTTTCTTGTTCTACTTGAGGAAAATAAGGGACTACAGTGCTCGTAGTCTAGAAGCCACGAAGCTCTAAGGCAACTAAATACAGCGCTTGGGTCTTTCATCTCTTCTACCGTTGGTTAATTAAGAAACTCGCTCTGAGAGCTTTCGATATGCATTGTTCTTCATAGCACGCTTTGCATACATACATACACTGATTACAGTTAGCCATTACGATACCTAAAGGGGGATAATGAGGTTATCCCTATATTAAGATCTCTCCTTACAGATGACCCACTCAGACCAGAAAGGTTGGCCAAACCACCGGGTTCTACGTCCCATACTTTTGTGGATTCTCTTACCCCCGACGAGAACCAGATATGTAGCTATATGTGAAAGTGCTGTGAGACGGGACCAACGGTTCTTTTGTCATTAAAAAGACTAGAAAGTCTAACCGTTTGCAAATGTCATTACAAAGGCAGCACTTTATTTGTCAGTTACTTAAAGACCCTGAGTGTTGGACCGGCCGTGGTTTGAGCCCATGACCTCCCACACAGCAGACCAGCGCTCTCCCAACTGAGCTAACCAGGAGGACGGGAAGATTTATACAGATTACGAACGCCGCACTCAGTAACTGTTAGCTACGAAAAATAACTTCTTACTACAAAAGAGAGCAAAACTGGGCACACAGACCTAAACTTTACTCACTTCTACGGGGTTGGTAGACGTTTCGCCATTTTGAGAAAAGTGTACAAATTATACTTATGACTGGATGCCACTGTAAAGGTTAAAAAGCTTAAGATCAATATTTTTTTTTGTTTTTCACTCTCAACAACTAACATCGACAACGAAACACAGAACAATCAAAACTCGTTTTTCACAACACCTCTTCAAACAACTCAGTTCACAGCAAGTCTTGGCCTTGGAAAGAATGACAAGGGCATTACTCTACCTCTGAGGCATGCCGACCGTGAGTAAACTCGTAAGGGTAAATAGTCAACGTTGCTGATCAACCTAACCCTCCTCCACCCACCAACGACAAAGACAGCCAGCGGCGTACGTATAAGGGATTAGGGATTGTTGTACTTTGCAATTCATGGGCAAAGAGGCTTCGCATGATGTTCGGGCTACAAGGATTATTAATCCGCAGTTTTCTTGGCGTTACTGAGAACTCTTACGAGTCAGAGCCTGCTTACTAATATTACTTTTGCTGATTAATACAAGTTCACATGAATCAATTCGTAATAAAATGTAATCAACACCGTTTACAACAGCACAGCGACAGTCCTTACGTTGAACATAATATAGTATTCGCAATACAGTTAAATAGTTAACTACAACTGACATGCGCATTGTGAATCTGTTTCCGAATTTGACGACGATAAAAAATCTCCAGAATTTTTGTAACAGGGAGCAGAACTGGTAGATAAATCTAACACCATTATCTCCTACGGCACAAATCAGAGTTTCAATTAACATATCATAGACCCAATCTCAAACCTTGTTCTTGAGATTTAAATTCCACATAATGTGTCATCTGAAGTGAGGTAAGAGGGGATGAATCTGACGCCATTTTTTTGCGGAATGGTTGTATAAATCCGGTTTCCAGACACCAAATAAAGTCCTGCATTACAAAAACCATCAGTGACTTTTAGGGCTGGTTATAAAACAGAATTTGGCCAACCCTAGAACCTAAACATCATTTACTATACATAATTATATTATTTTAGTTTATACTACAAAAAAAATCATCTACCAACAATAATCGCTTTTATTTAGTTCTTAACCTCGGATAATGTATTTTTAGGGCTGCGTGCAAACGGACGCAACAACTCCCAACATTGTTGGCGTGTGTGTTGGCAGTCGCGTGCAAACGGATGCAACAACTCTCAACAATGCTGGGACCTGCAGTGCATCGTGGGAAGGATACAACCCATAAGTCTTTGTAAACCACGCATAATGAGCGTGCGTGGCCCCAACAATGTTGGAAGAGGTGTGCAAACGGATCCAACATTGTTGCGCAACGCTTCGGCGATCACGGAACAAAAGAAATGTTAGGAGCTGTTGGCTGAAAAGTTTGACCGGTTTCAAATTTTGCGCAACAACACGCAACAATATCCAACAACATGCAACAGGGTGTGCAAACGGACGCAACATGTAACATCCAACAATGTTGCGTCCGTTTGTACGGGGCTTAGCTTTTTCGTTGGTTCACTGGATCTCGGCTATCATCAGCCATTATACCTTTTACCTTAGTAAACGAGTGCGACACGAGCGGTGTGCCTGAGTCCTGCACAATTACAGAGAAGTTTTGTAAAAATAAGTAACACTGGGCGAAAGAGAAGGTTGAGAAATTAATAAAACATTTACTCGACTTGCTCCTGTTAGATACCGCCTTGATTGTATCCAATGTGGGCTCATGCAATATGATCAATGTTCAATAAAGACACTTGGTGGTACACTGATTGCAGTTCAATAAAGCAAAGTTTTAATAACGGGCCTTGTAGGTCTTGTACTGGTTATATCTTTAAGCCAGAACCCATTAGGAACTTAATTATATTTTTCAGCGGACAAAAACCTTGTACTAGAAAAATTTAACAATATCGCATTATTTTTACACTTTGTAGGCCAACAATGTTGCATCCGTTTGCACGGGGCTAAACGTTTGACCGGTTTCAAACCTTGCGCAACAACACGCAACAACATTCAACAACATGTAACAGGGTGTGCAAACGGACGCAACATGTAACATCCAACAATGTTGGGAGTTGTTGGTCAACAATGTTGCGTCCGTTTGCACGCAGCCTAAAGATATAATTAGTTATCTGTAATAACAGAAAGACAATTATTTTCCCATGGGAGCCTGAGAAAACAAATGTCATATTTCACAAGAAATGTGAAAACTCCGAAAAAATTCTGAAAATTTCATGTGTAAGATTTCATTTTGTGAAATTTGACATTTATTTTCTCGAAGGCTCCCATCAGAAATTTTCTTTGGTGTTATCACAGATTACTAATTACATCTATAGCCCTTGAAAAATGTGAAAAAAATGCAATATGCTTAAAATTATTTATGGTAAAAGGTTTGTGTCCACTGAAAATTAAAATTACTCAATTTCCTGATGGATTCCATCTTAATATCTTACTATCAATATTTATCTAATGCTAATTGAAATGCCAAGAACATGACGAGCAAATTGACCTGCAAGAATGAATAATAATTGTTTTGAAGATTACACATTCTTCTAACTAGTTCTAAGCCACATAGAGTAAGCTTGAAAAAGGAGCATCCAACATGTTGGTTCAGCTTCATCCAAAATTGTTGGATTCATTTGAATACCCTATTGAACAGTGTTGGAACATCTTGCTATTGTTTACAAATGATAAATCTAATTTGATCATTTCTTTATTTATCGAAGGGTTGTGAAATACAGGTATTTCCAAACTGGACTTGCACATTTTGGCATCCTAAACATATTTAGAATGCACTGAAGTAGTTTCATACCTTCCTAGTCTAGTTTCCTGCTGGTCATTATCACTAACAACAAATCCACAATGTTTCTGACACTTTTTTTTCTTTTTTGACACTATCACATTGATAAAAGGAAATCAGGGATTGACATCATACACCACACAAATTGGCTAGTTGGGCAGAGCCATCCAGGCAACCATTCCTGAATGAAGAATAAGAAGGAGAAACATGCAAGCACTTTACGCCGCTTGCAATTTCCTTGTGTGGTGTACACAACAAATACTCACCTAAGTGTTGATCAGGTATGCTTTGGTGTTTACTAAAACTAATGTGGTTGACAAATTACTAACATAACAGTTACATATACTTTCACTAGTAGTGTATGATAGTTGTTACTAAAATCAATTATTGACAGTCAGTGCTCAATAAAGAGAAAATTGTCTACTAATCTTGAATAGCCCCATAACACACTCCCTTAAATTTGCCTCCAAATGTAGAAACGATGCTCAATTAATTGCTTCCTGGAATTCCCCAGTAACGAGGAAAGGAACGACAACCTTTCTTTACCCACCACTTGATGTGCACATACACCAGAATGCTTCGCACAAAGATTAACCATCCTAAAACACCAAAAAATGAGAGTAATCATTGAATATGTGATGCATTCAACCAGAAGACTAATTATACTAAAAGTGACTTCAGTTTCAGTTATGTTGGAGAGTTTGGGAAAGTCATATTTTGCCTATATGGGTAAAGCATGTGAAAAACATGTACTAATGTTATTAGCAATGATTAGCATTTTACATTTCACCACCATGCTAGAACATGTTTCTGTGTGTTTTGAGATTGTCATTTGCCATTACCTGACCCAGTGGAACAAAATCATAAAATTACCTAAAACCCACAACTTTAAAAAAGAATGCTGGAAGTCAAGCACACAGGTTAACTGTTAATTTCCTTAAAGAGAATCCTTTCAAGTACATTTGAATTAATAAAGTAAAAAGTGAAAATGGTATTTGTCCTAAAAACCTGGAACTTTTTCTGATTCACTTGGTTGTGGTCAATTTCAGACCAAGAAGGAATGCAATTAATTTAGTATTTTTTTTTTGAGGGGGGAGGTGGGGGGTTATCAAAAGAACTGATATAAACATTTTCTGATGAAAAGTGAAAGTTTGTCTCCACATTGCATCTACCTACAATGAAGATGTGTAAAAAAATTGAATTAATATATATCACATTATTACATGTTCAACACAAATGTCCAAAAAATTCACCAAAACACCAGCCTTCAAATTCGGTCAAAATATAGGTGGAAAAAAGTTGTAAAATCACACTCTTAATTTGTGTTGAGTATGTCTTTACTATGAAGAAATCTATTTTTTTATGAATGCCTGTGATCCATTATATAAAATATTATATATACTGGTATACTGGTATACTGTCTGCAGTTAGATATAGCTCTTTGGCATTACAAAGCTTTTGCTTTCATGTCCAAATTGAGCACTCTACTAGGATGAGTCATTGCCGCTAGCAATTGCGCACGCTCGCTAGCTCGCTAGTTTGAGCACTCTGGCATGGCTTAGATGTACCACATGTGTGGGACATTTGGGGTGGCCTTAACCTCCATCCTAGACATCAGCACTGCACTGATGAGGCCCAGAAGGTCAAAAATATACTGTCTGCAGTTAGATATAGCTCTTTGGCATTACAAAGCTTTTTTGCTTTCATGTCCAAATTGAGCACTCTACTAGGATGAGTCATTGCCGCTATGAAGAAATCTATTTTAATGAATGCCTGTGATCCATTATATAAAATATTTTGATATACTCTGGCATATAAATATAGATGTACCATTATGTGTGGGACATTTGGCCACCAAATCCATGAGTGAATAACAAACCTCCATCCTAGACATCAGCACTGAAGAACAAATGAAAATAAAATAAGCATAACAGTACTTTCTGCAAAGTCAAAGTTACAAAAAACAACTGAAAATTTAAATATATCAAAATATATCATTACCAAGAAACTAAACATATTTGAAGAGCCACCAAATCCATGAGTGAATAACAATCACTTCATCAGAAGCTGCATTCTGAAGAACAAACAGAAAATAAAATAAGCATAACAGAATTTCATGCACGCAAATCAAAGCATACAAAAAACAACTGAAAAAGTTTGAGCTCAATTTATCAACAAAATTCTATGAGAAAATAAGGAGAAACTAAACATATTTGAGTTATTTGACCTTTATAGCTTTCACCACTGTACACTTGTAGGTATATATATATGCCAGTATGCTCCTATTTGTATCACAGAAAGGCACTATTGTCTGGGCGGAAAAACTTATGAATGCACCTTCATTCACTGTAAATGTCAATACTAGTTTCAATAACATATAAAGCCCCCTTAAGAGCTTTAAGGCACAACGAGCCTGATTTTGTATACTTACTAAGTCTCAAAAGTTGGCTATCAAAATTAATACTCAAAACCCTTTTAATTTATCTACCTTTTAATCAAATAAAGTCTGAAGGCTACTGTAATTAGCACAAATGATCCCGTATACATATTCTGCATTCAATATCATTACAAAAGGTGAGCAAGACTTTCCATAAGTTGAAGTTCGACTGGGATTCCACCTGTCACCATACAGAGAGGGATTACGTGAGATAGCATTGTGCCTCAATGAACTCAGTCTTTTTAGTTCCACCTCTGTGCATTGCAGTCAGGTTGCAACACAGGGTGGGACCCAAGGGAGGGTACATAATCCCTCTGTGTATGGTGACAGGTTGAATGCCAGTCTAACTTCAACTTCTGGTAAGTCTAGTTTAACTTTTCTATTCCACCTTGTCATCCACAGAGGGATCATGTGAGATTTCAAAGCCAGATGCACAGGGTGGCAAAACCACTCCAAAGTATTTTTCATGATGGCATCAGTGATGCAAGTGAGTGCTGTCATGCCCTTCAAAATAGATGTTTGTATTTTTGAAATCTCAGGTCTTGTGACTGAATGGAAGCACTGAGGTTGTCCCAAATCAATTGGTTAACACAAACCTTCGTCAACTGTTTGTAGTTTTTGGGCTGAGGGTACTTGTTAAATTCTTCTTGAAGATTATCTTTCAGCATGCTGTCTCGAACAAGACACGTCACAATTCTTGCAAGTTCATCATGAATGGGAGGGAACACTTTCTAGGAACCTCCAACTGAAGGGGTGTTGTTTGGTGGTTTGACTGTGCCACTTTCTTCAACATTTTGTCAACAGGTCCTGGACCGTTGCATCAACATCCATGGCTGAAGGTTAGTTTGAAGTTGCCTTCTCTTGGCAAACTTCTTGGTCTTTTGACAGATTATTGTCCTTGGGATCACTCTCAGTGACCTCAACCTTGTCTTTAACAACATATTTCTCAAAAATATGAGTCGATAAGATGGTCGCTAATCACTCAGTCAACTGAGAAAAACAAGGCAAACTGAGCGCTTGCCATTTCGTTGTGGCGGAAATCAACTACGACTTCATTCCCATCTTCATATGAGTTTTGAGTGTTTATCAGCTTTCTCACTGGGTAGTCGGTGCACCTCCACTCAAACTTCTTTAGAAGAAGCAGAAGGCGATTTAGTTGACATTGTGTCAACAAAAAAGACCCAATTTACAATTACAAAATAATTCATGACCATTCACAAAAAAGGCAACAATGCACTGAGTTAATGCAGGCACAATCCTATCTCCCATGATCTCTCCATGGGTGACAAGATGGAATAAAACGTATGAATGGCTAAACTTTGGAACTTCATCGACCATTATAAAATTAGTACAGTCGACTCCTGATAATTCGAACCTTCAAGGGAAAAAAGTTTGCGTTATCGGGAGTTCAAGTTATTGAGGGTAAAATTATACAGAAAATGATCTGAAGGGAAATGAAAATTGCTTCAAGTTAGTGGGAGGTTGAAGTTATAGAGGGTTCGGGTTACCGGTAGCCAACTGTAACTGAATTCACCTCTCACCTTCAGAATAAGAACCCATTTGACAACTGAGAGTCCAAAGCCAGATATTGCTCCATACCTCCCAGCCACAGTCTTGGTCATACAGTATGCAGCAAAGAAACCCAGCCAGTTAAAAACAAATGAAACTAGAGGGATAAAGTTCATGTTGATTACATTAGATACTGGTATTGCTAACCTCATTATGGGAAACTAACGCTCCATGAAATTAACATATTGGAAATTAACACGAAAGAGAGGGTAACAATTCAAAATTAGGGAAATTAATGCAACATTAAAGACCTTAATTAAGACTTTGTTTGTGGTACTTTCCCTAAATGCATGGAGGGGGTAATGCAGCGAAATCTGGCCAAGGGTTCTTCACAGTTTCACTGTTATCAGTGGATCTTCACCCTCATAAAATACTCTTCTCTCCTAGGTGTCAAGAACATCAGAAGTGTATTGAGAATTTGGGGCCAGAATAATGGAAACTACAGTAACGTTGCGAAAATTAATGCTCCACTTAATCAACGGCCAGAAATTAACCTTTACAAAAACCAATGCAACTCAAAATTAACACCAAGTTTTCAAATTTCTGATAATTTGATAAGGCATTAATTCCCTATACCAAATAAAGGTGACAAATACAAAAATATCTTTTATCCATAGGAAATTGAATTTGTCAATAAAATAACTCACAACATCCATGTAATAGGTCTCCCAAGCATTTTATCTAGAATGATCATGTAAGTGCTGGTAATTTATCATTGTTTTTTTACATTTATTTAGTTTGCTCCACTCTACTTTTGAACACTGTACAGTCATGTATGCTTAGATGCAACCGATGGCAGTTTCAGTTGAAGATAGTGGGGTGTTCATGTTGGCCATAGCCAGGGTCTATTTTATAGTATGAATTTATTATTATTTAATGAACATGCAGATTTAAGATGACTCACTGATAAAACAAATCAGAAATAGCCAGTCATTCCCAAGAGAAACTTCTGCAACAAAAAAAAGAGCACCAAACTAAATGAGATTAAATTATCAACAAACTTGTTGCTAGAACAATGTTTATAAGAAAAACTTGTACTTCTTAATAATTAAGAAGTACATGTTTTTCTACAGACGAATCTCCTGTAAGTGACCATCCAGAATGCAAAGAGATAGTGGTCACCTCATGGGAGGTAGTCGCTTATGAGAATCAGTCCACAAGGGGTCCCTTCCAAGAGGAGAACCCGATCCTAATGTATCCACTCTTTGGAATTCTGAGAATTATTGCATGCAATCTCTAAGTTATGATAATTATGTGTAGTTCCATGTTCTCACTAAAGGTTCTTTGCATACTCTGAGTAGCGCAGTGTGCACACATTGTAGTGAACAAAAAGATCAGACCATGAGGAGTCAAGCAGTTGCTTACAAGAAGCTTAAAACAATGCAAAGTTATAAAACCGTCAGTCCAAAATGTGGTCGTGGTCACACACGGAGGTTTGAGCGTATACAGTTTTTGCAGCTTCGTAGGTATAAGTACAAGTTAAGGAAATTCACTGTACCTATTCCACCATCAATAAGAAGAGCATTCCTTTCAACCTTAAAATAAATAAAGTAAATCAAGTACTGTATTATCTCCATTAAACACTGAGCCCCTAACAAATTCTTGGTTTACACTAAGAAGTTGAAAACAAGTTCCCCAGATCAATCAGAGCAGAATTTCTTTTACCATAATTATCCAAAAAGAAGAGAGTACATGAATCTGACTTGCTCCACAATTAATGCATGCAAAATGAACTATGACAAAGTTTGTCTCATAACTTTTTCATTTTTATCCATGGCTTTGAAACTTGGGAAACCCTGCAGCTACAGGTTTTAGAACTATTAATTCAGCCATCAAGGAAAGAAGTTATGAAGCAGTGATTTTCTGGGTATTAAGACAAAATGTACCTTACTTCAACCCCCATCCCTCAACACCAATCCCCCACTCTCACTCAATGGAATTTTAATTCCTGAGATGTGACTTCACACTCTCCCTCCCCTCCCCACCCTTTACCCAAGAGCTCCCTGGAGAGCTTACTCACAGGCTAAATACATAAAAAGAGAAAATAATCTTACCAAATCAGTATATTGCTCCTTTACCCTTTCTGCTTCTTCATAGGTTGGTAGTTTAGCAGCAATATCATACGATGGTGGAAGATCAGAATCTGAAAGAATTTGTCACAGTACTACAGCTGTACAATATGTCATGCAACACTCTAAATCATAGTTCTGTAGAACATCAAATTTAGCCACAATCAATTTAGAATACATTGGAATGGCAAGACAGATTAAAATGACTGCATATCAAAGGCACTGGCAGAATGCTTTAGTGAACTTGATGGCATGTTAAACAAATCAACACTGACAATAAGGCCATTACAGTCAAACCAGTAGTAAGAAGACACTCTAGCTTGACTGAGGGAGAAAGAGGAAAATGTTAGAAGGTGATAAAATTACTTAACACCCCCTAATGAGCTGTGCTTTATTGCTTTCGTGGAAATGCATAAACAGCCAATGAACAACAAGTTGTCTTTTACTAGAAGCCAGAAATTTACTTCCAACAAAGAAATTGACGTGACTGTGTATTTGACAAGTTTTGGAAGATGTAGCTGGCAATGCAAAAGTTGATTTTTGTCAGAAACATGTCCAAGTGAAAGCATCAGGTCAAAGCCACAAATTTTCCACCAACAGTAAGCAATACATCAATAAAAAGCACCAAATGAACCACCGAAACTGCATGATGTTTTGGACAAAAGACCACCCATGACTTAGCTTATCCTATGCAGAGAAGTTGCAAACATAAACCAAGCTACACAGCAAAGAAGAGATTGGCGCAACAAAGCAGCATGTGGGAAAAAATTTCTGCGCTGAATAAATGTCAGTTTCAACATTCTTCATTGATAAGCGATCGGTTCATTTTGGTCAACAGTCTTGAGATATGAGGAAAGAGCTTTGGGGATAACACCAGATGAGCACTCCAAATAAGACAAAGCTTTAAGATAAGAAATAATACGAAATCTGCTTTTAATACACTCGGGTGGTTCTTTGTTTACAAGAGAAAATTTTTCATGTGAGTGTGGAAATGGCGGATTCTGCAGTATGCATTTCTCATAACAAAAGAAATTAGGCATCATCAATGATTTGTTCACATACAAGCATAATAACAGCATGCTTTGAATTCTAATGTTTCCATGTTTTATTTTTGTTTTGTTTTTTCTGCATCAGACAGACCTCCCATTGCAAAACTTACAACAAGACGCTGTGGCAGCACAAATTTGGGTGTCAATGTACTAGGCGTGTGAAGTTTTTCATGTGTATTAGGTATGTGTGAGTAGTGCAATAGTGTTGCATATTTTAGGGGTTGGTTGAGATGTGTGAAGTGGAAGGCATGGAGTTATATTTGGATGTGAATTGGTAAGATGATGGCTGTAGTTTGTTTATCAGTGAAACTTGTTTCTCGTAGAAATTAATATGAAGTAACAAAAAATTATTACTTTGGGAGGTAAAAGTGATTTTCATAGGTGTTGCAGTGAGGTAGTTGTGGAAGTGTTAATTTGGTTATCAAGGGATAGTGTAGTGACAGTGTGTTGAAATGAAGTGGTGGTTGTGAAAAGTCTTATAAATAGTCGAAAAACATACTCGTACTTATTTTAATAAAATAAGTACAGTATGTTTTTCGACTATTTATAAGACTTTTCACAACCACCACTTCATTTGTTAAGTTTTTTGTTTAGGTTTGTTTTTCACTTATTTTTGATACTATTTGTATCAAGAGAACATGGATTAGCCCAAAAGATCATTTAATCAAGAGAAGGGGGTATGAAGATGTCGAGAGGGAGAACTGAAATTTTGTGTGTGCGCTCGGGAGCTTTGAAAAATCAGTGAGGTTAAGGAGAGGGCATAAAATCTGTCTATAGAAGCAGAAAACATGGCACCTTAGATAAAAGCAACAAAAATCAACTTTTGCACTTATGTGACAATCGAGCCAACCCAGTAATCTGGGATCCCAGTTTTGTGTTTCCCTTTTTCCCGGGTGGAAATTTTCCAAGTAATCACGCTTGGAGGGCAAATCAACCAATTGAAAAACAGGACAGCGGGTAACACACTGTTCATGCGCATTGCTTCCCTGGCTCAAATGTGATCAGGCCTTTACTGTGAGTTGTATCATCACCCAGTTTGCACATGAAAGCTTTGGAATTTGCTGCCTTCGTGGTTCGTGTATGTGAGAATATGACTTAATCTGATTAACGCAAGGGTTATAAACTTGCAAGTGCAAATCTTGGACTCTGCCCCTTTTAAGGTTCGACCCTGAAAGAATACAACTTGTTTATGGGGTCATTTTGTTCGATAAGATTTTAAGAAATCACCTCCTTTCTGAAAATATGCAATGAAATTATGCATCATTCAATGTTACTCTTAATTATCTTATGCACGAGATCTTGGAATTTTGTGTGACATCTTCTTTGGCACTCAACAACTGAGAGTAAAATATTGTCAAACTCTTGGCAGCAAGCCAAACCATTCACTCCATGTACTGTGAGGACGATTATATTTTCCAAAGGGAAAATTTTAATTATTTAATAGTGTTTCACTCATGTGTACCTTGTTTTTCCAGAAAGTTTGTTTTCTATTGCAAATTTCGTTGCTGTGCTTCATCTGTGGGACGTATGCAGGGGTTTCATTTACTCTCAAAGTTGAAGGGCATATGAGGTAAAGCAGGCAGGTACCCTAAATGGCGAGGGCCAGAGGCCTGAGCTTCTAGGGGGGTACGGGGCTCCTCTTAAAAATTTTGAAAAATTTGACTCCCAGGAATGCATTTTCCTGCATTCTGAAAAAGAAATTATCCTTTTCTTATCACTCCTCATTTACCCAGTTTACAACAAAAAATTTCATTTTGCTCTCCAAGAATTTGTTCATTCAATCTTCTACTGTGTTAAATAATAAAAATAGCTAGCGCTGAAAAACATTTGCAATGCATTGTTTTGGGTTAGAAGTATTGTTAAGAGGATTTTATTTGGTGTTTGGAATTTCTTTTGGGAAACATATTATGCCAAATGTGTATTGCAAATTGGGTAACACCTTCCAGCTATTTTTACAGACAGAGCCAACATTGACAACAAGACACTAGGGTGCCTCCCTTACTTCTTACAAATAAACAAGATACAAGTCACTACAACTTAGTAATGATGAGTGTAACTGACACCAGTATTTTAAGATGGAATCATCAGGAAATTGAGTCATTTTAATTTTCAGTGGACAAAAATCTTGTACCAGAATAATTTAAAGAATATTGCATTCTTTTTTACATTTTTCAAGGGCTAAAGATGTAATAAATCATCTGTAGTAACACCAAAGAAAATTTCTCATGGAAGTCTGAGAAAATAAATGTCAAATTTCACAAGAATTGAGATTTTACAGGTAAAATTCTAAAACTTTCATGTGTAAGATGTACTTTTGGGAAATTTGACATTCATTTTCTCAGGATAAAATTGCTAAATACAATAAAATGTTTTCAAACCCAAGCATCATCGTCCAATGCACAAGTAAACCGGAAAAACACGGGGACTTAAAATTTTAGATGTAAATTTCATGTGTAGGGTCAGCTAGGGTCAATGCGCTCTTTATTCTTTCTAAAATGCAAAATTATCAGCGCTTATGTAAATTTCACTATATTGATATTGCAAAACTTCAAGTGTATTAAAATTCTAAAAACCAACATTTTGACCTTTTCCGGGACACAAAAAAATTATCCAGGACACCTTGAGATTTTCGTTTGCTTGCCATGATGAACTTTTTATAAGCTGTTTCATAGAAGTCATAGAACACACTTGCTTCCAAACAAGTGGCATGTCATGTGCAGGTGTTATGTAAGAGCCAAATATAACATTTATAACAGGATCGAAAAAAGAGGATGACAGACAACAAAGATTGCTTTTCTTGAAGTACTAGTAAAAGTCACCTCAAGGATCTGATGCGAGACAACTGATAAAAAGGTTTTTTAAAGAAAATATTCAACTTAAATGGAAGACTTAATTTTTATTTTCGGCTGATTTTTTTTCAGTTTCGTACTTGTCCTGTTAATTGGGGAAAAAGAAGCCGGGTACTCTGATCAAAGTAAACGGGTGCTAGTACCTGGGTCCCGGCTTCTAATGACAACACTGCATATGTAACGAAGACAAATGCTGTGTTGTGACACAACGCACGGCAGACATTTGCATCACTTGGCTTGCTTACTTGGCATGTTTACATTCACATGTATTGCTTGCCTATGGCAACTTTGAATCAAAGCAAGTGATCTCAGTCACTCTATTTGGGTAACGCCTAAATAATCAGCTTATTTTCCCCACACAAACAATTCCTTTCTCATTTCATTGGTCACAGCGTCCTAAATGCCATTGCATCCTTGATCTTAAGCTCCCAAACGGATGCATGCAGGAGTATTTTCCCCTCTTCTTGCCCTTCTTTACCTTTCCACCTTGGTCCTCTCCCTTAAATCATTTTTTGGATAGCCCCAACCCCTGTCAATTTCATCAACCAAGATGGTAGCAGAGCAATAGAAGGATTGTACATCGCTAGTGCAGCCAAATATGCCTGCTTTGCAAGCTCACTCAAGGCTGTGTCGTTTGAAATAATATTCACATGTGAGAATCTGGCAAAGTAACTTTATAATTCTAGCAAAATTGTCACTTATGCCCTTTTTGTACAGGGTTCTCCACTCAGCCTCGTCAAAAATAATGGTGTACAACAGTAGGCCACAAAACCAGAGTAGAAGGTAGCAAAGGCCTAAAAATTGTGACCTTCTCCAGGAAAACGTACACTAACGGTTTACCGTTTAACGGCTTAAAGCGTTAACAACCCGTTAACTAAGCGTTACAACGGCTTGGGAAAGCGTTCAAGCCGTTAGTAAAACCGTTAGAAAAATTTGCCTTGCCGTTAGAAGCGTTAGAGAAACCGTTAAAGGCGTTAGTCAAGGTCGTTTAAAACGTTAGAAAAAGTCGTTCGAAATTTCGTTCCAGGACGTTCAAGTCGTTCGGCAAAGTCGTTAGATTTGCATTCTAGAACGTTTAATGAGTGAAGTTCTTTTGATTATTCTGTTTTATGTCCTTTGAAATTATAATCGTTAGGTTATCGCTCTACATTCGTTTGATTATCGCCCAATCTGTACTCGGTTAAAACCTGCAACACATACGTTTTCTCACACTTTCATGCGTTTGTCGTTCAGGCTACATTCGCGCACTTGAACACACGAGCATTTACATACGTACGTAACAAACTATTAATAGCAACATGTAAGCGAATAGGTTTTCTGATTATTTACCTGGAGGCGCCAGTAAACCATTTCTTCTGTTGGACACTTCACACGATCTCAGTTTACACATTTTCACAAAGATAACTATCATGTCGAATAAATTGTAGTTGAGCGTACGAATCTTCAAGATTCATAGATTTTCTCTCAGACTTGTAATGTTAGGTATCGTAGCAATAAATAAAATAAGTGGATAATTTTTGTCTGTGTTTTTTAAGTTCCGTGGGACAAACGTGGGAAATACATTTTAATGAGAATACCTGTATGACATCAAAGGACTGGGACTGAGCAAGTAGTTGCTATGACAATGCTGCACTTGAACGGCGACATCGTCAGGATCGATCGAACTAAAACGCAGCAATCAACCAAGAAGCGGTAAAAATTCGCATTTTTAGTCAAGATATGATCAAGAACAGGGAAAATGTATCAATTTTTATAATTTACTTTCTAGAAAAGCTCTTGCTTATTTTCAAAACGGCCACAGCGCGAGACAGGAGCGAAAACTTCCAACTCATGCACGTGAATGTTTGCGTACTACATGTAGTATTCGAGAAACGGAAGTAACATTGCGACTTTTGGTCCATCACTTGGACGAACGTTGGTGAGTAATAAACGAATTTTAAAGATTGGGTTTTTAACTGAATTTTATGTCTTGTCTGTCTCCCGAGTTTTATTGACGACTCAGATGATTTGAAATGTCAGACAGGTACAACTGATTTCATCGCGCATAATGTTTTATAGTCTTTGAGCTGTTATCACTCGAAACGTTTGATTTTTATCAAACGTTCTCTTAGACCGTTAGATGATTGTTTCTTGAAGCCGTTAGTCCGCCCGTTAGAAACGTTCAAAAAAGTCATTAGGAAAATCAGAGCAAATCCGTTCGAACGCTTTTGTAGGTCGTTAGATTTTTTCGCCTACACGTTCAAACCGTTAGCCAACCCGTTAAGGGCGTTAGAAAAGCCGTTAACAAGCCGTTCGTTAGCCGTTAGTTTTTACCCGTTAAACGGAAAACCGTTAGTGTACGTTTTCCTGGAGAAGGTCACAATTATTCAACCTGTGCTGAGTAACTAGCAAATATTCAACTGGAAGTGGCAAAATTGCTGTCTGCCAGCACATTTTGACTGGGCTTTTAAATTAGTCCGTTTATCTTCGTTTCTAAATTTTCAAAACTTGTCCAGGGTGAGTCTTGGGTAAGAATAATATTATTTTTCTCCTTAGTTATTCAGCTTGAACAATGCCTTGGTTTGTTTGGGCTGTATCAGATTTACAAGTGCATAGAAAATTTTGCTCACCACAGAATGATGAATCCACCATGCCATAATTTATTATACACTAAAAACCTAACATCTGTTTGTATGTGAATGCATAATAACAACTGAGTTAACAAAACCGTCATCTGAATTTTGTTTGTCATACAGTACGATCTTTTGGTTGAAACTTTTTACACAAGCAGGGTGCAAGGAAAGTCAGTTTTACTCCTTGCCATTTGGGCTAGCTGTAGCTAGCATGCACTAGCCCAAAACATTTTAACTAGCTCCAGAGACTTTTTGATGAGCAGGTTTGACTACACAGTTCTTCTGTAAATTGAATTCTTTAAAAAACTTCACTAGTTGCCCATCGGGCTAGTTGAGAACCAAATTCACTAGCCCAATAGCAAAATACACTAGCCCCAGGATATAGGACACTACTTTCTTTGCACAGTTCACAAGTTTAATTTTTACTTCCTTTTTCTCAAGTTAGCATTATCTGAGTTGAAATGTTTTAAAGGGACTGGTTCACGATAATGCGCATGCGCGCCGTTTGTCTCTTCAGAATAAATTTGTTGGGTCAACACTAAATTCGAATTCGCCATTACCGGTACAATCACTGAAAATCCTTCGTTTTATTCGGACATCCGTCGCTTTGGCTGCTCTAGTTATACTTCAGTAGTGGTGATTAACGTGTGGTTACGTCCTTTGACTGGTTGCATTTTAAGAAGACGCAAAAACTAATGTTTTGATCATGGAGGTTCAGAAGAGGATCGTGGCTGTCCGGCAACAGGACGTTCTCAAGAGTCTTTGGAGAAAAGAGAAGCTTAGCCTATCGATCTGGTATGGCTCTAGTAGTAGTGTGTGGTTTACGTAAAGTATACACGACACTTGGAAAGTGGTTAAAGGCATGAGTTCGTTCAACTTTGATTTGATTTTTGACTCCGACCTGTAGTTATACCGCAACAGGCCGCGCGATCTTCACCGATCTGGTACACTTGAAATGTTCCTTGTATCTTTGCTTTACGATCGTATATGTTTAAGAATTGATGTTTTTTAAATAAATTATTGCCTGAGTATTCTGTTTATAATCTAGTTTCTTTATGTGTGCTACTCGATAACATTTGTTTTGCGGAACACTGACCCGATGCAACGCGAATGAATTTGTTCATTTGTTGATAAGCATTTGAAATTTATGCTCAATTAAGGATGATCTTTATACTCATATGTTGTACGTTTTTGTCACCGGTCAGGTGCTGTTTGTAGGTATTTCTGGATTTATATAAGGCGAACTGAGAGAGCAGTAATATAAAGATGTTTGTTTACAAATTTTGTTTGCCGATCGGTGACTGGTTTGTTAGCATGGGTATGACCTCGTAAAAATACACGTTGGTAAATGTTTGTTTCAAAGCAGGACAGGGCTGTAGATCTTATTCTTATCGGCTGCATCATATATCTGAGGAGTAGCAAAGAATAAACTTGAATTATGGGGATAAATAAAATCAAACCAAATGCGCAGAATACTCTCGTGTCGCGAACAATTAATTTGAATTTTGTAAATTTACTTGCATGAATCTAACTCGCTTCCGATTGGTTGAAAAACAATCAGCTACTGTCAGAACTCACACATGCGCATTATCGTGAACCAGTCCCTTTAAACCGAGCATTGTATCCATGACTAAATGTTTTCCTGACATTAAACTCTAAACAAACATATTATGTAAATTCTTTACCTGCTATTGTGTCTTGTTCAGTGCTCGGTTCATAGGGGGGAGGGGGAGAGTACAGTGCAGCACCATCAGGAGGTGGAGATATTGTCAAAGTTACAGGAACTGGGGGAGGGGAGGGTGGTTCACTGGTGGATACCTAAAATGAAACAGAAAAATTGCTTTCTAATTTGTGTTTTCTAGTCACACACGAAAGTCATGGTTATAAGACTAAGTTGTTATTTCATGTACTATTTTCTATCTTCCATCTGTTATAATAATTATTATTTTTTCCTGTTGCAAATGCTAGCTACAAATATCGCCTCTTGAAATCCTCCTGCCACTCGTTTAGCGTCCTCGGAACTGTGTCGGCTGAATGTACATCATTAAAAAGTACTTTCAGCAGCATAGCACCTTTGTCTAATGTAAGTTTAAGCTCAACATTCATGACGCATGTACATAGCACAAAAGGCCTTCTTTCCACTGTTCTGATATTAGAGCATAAAAGAAGAAATAATCGCAGCACATTCGAGATCATAAAACTAAAAAGGTTTGAAAAAACATATTAAAATTATTGTAAGTAAAGTTATAGTTAAAACTTCAATGTTTTTAAGCAAAACAAACAAGGTAAAAGAGACAAATACGCTTAAGCTCAATTAAAATGTCTGGATAAATTAATATTTCGACCAACAAAGTGAACAAACGACCTTCATACGTACAGGTTCATAACGTTGTCGCTGATTCGAGGCCATGGTGAGCTTCTAAAGAAAGCCTCACAGCTTTTAGTAGCTTTTTGCCCTTAATCGGCTCTCACGTTTACCTTTTTCTGGACAAAACTCACACTAAATTAAAGTAATCATTAGCCAATATGGCGGACCCAAACATAGAATGAGATATACTGTGACGTAACAATCTGTCTATGCACAGGAATACCAGTGCATTTCCCATGAAACGCGGCAGAATGACTATGAAGATCTCTTTAGGCAGGGGCACCCAACGACTCTTTTCTGTAAATTATATGTTAGGAGAAGCACAAATTTCCTAAAGAATTTCTATAGCTTGAGGAAGGCTAAAAATTTCTAGATGACCGTTCCATTCATGTACAATTTTCGAACTGAGAAATTTCCCACGGTTTTCTGAAGTTCTTATTTCGCATTTCACTCCCCAGGTTATGCTATTTTTCATCGAAAAAGGAAAACTAAAACTGTCGTATTCGAAAATGCGATGAAGAGAGGAATCAGGGAAATTGTTACTTTCGTACAGCTTTAAATTGTATCTAAAGTTTTCGGGAAAATTATGCTGAAGCCTTTGTAATTTCGTAAAGACTCGATTTACCCCTAGGATGACCGAACAGATACACATTTTCTAGCTCCCCTTAGGATGCATTTCTAGAGTGTTTTCAATGCGTTTAAGAGGAACTCGTCGTTTGGTGCCCCTGACTAGGGTTAAGAAACTGAGTCAATCAGGTTTCAGGTCAGTTTTCAGCGGGTCTTCAGGGCCTGTCAGCTACTCCTTGTACCCTTCCCTTGGTCCCTTGCGGTTCATCACCAGTCACTCGCGTTTCGCGCTCGCCTCTACCATGCGAAAAACGAAGCGCCTGAGGAGGAGGCTGCCTGTGACGCGTAACGCGAGTTAGAACGCAGCGCCCATTCCAGTTTCTTTTTCAATCTACGTTTTTCGTCTTACATTGGTAATGCGTATATGTTTTGTTTGTTCGTTGGAACAGTTCCAGTTTGGAATTCTTACTTTGTCCCCGGTTCGGTACACGCAGACTCTGTCACTGCGTTTCGATCACTCAAATAATTGTAGTAGTTAACCTTACTGCCCGGGGGGCAATGGTGTGGTTTCTGCGGCGTTTTGGTCTGGAAATGGGTATACATTTTGCCCATTTTGTTCTGGAATCGGGTATGATTTTCGAGTCCAGGGGACAACAAATGTGTATGAACGTTTGTTGTTTCATTTCCAAATGACTAATGAAAGAATAAAGAGTAATAAATCTAAATCGAAGTGGATTCTAAGAAATCTTCTATTTGGCTTTAATTCTAAACGAAGTAATGATGACATAATTATCCAGAGACCAGGTCTGAAAACGGGTACAGATTTTAGAGCCCTTACAAACCGGAAAACGGATTTGGCTGAAATAGCCTCAGGGTCAGGATTTGGAAAATCGGGCGCCACATCCAAGAATTCCTAGGAGTAACTCCCCGGCCTTATCAGAGCATATTGTATCAGCCGTTCGTTCTCTAATCTAACTGTAGTTAATCGACTCGCGATTTCTGTAACGGGGCGATGCTGCAACGAGCTTATCTCTAAAGTGGACAGTCAAAGATCCTGATAGCCTCCAGGGGGAGGCTAGGATCTGAGCAGCTCAGTTTCGTTTCGGCACGAAAAGCCATCAGGTATAGCTGTGTGGACATTGCCTTAGTTTGTTATAGGTAATAGTGCTAATTATCAGTAGGCTGTGTTTGATCGTCCGGGTGAACGTAGCCGGCTGAATAGAACAGTGACTGACGTTTCGACACCTGTGCGGTAGTCATCTTCAGAGTCAAAGTGAGTTGTATCACGTCATGATCAGTTGATGGTATTATACTCTGGTTATTGATCTGATTGGTCAATTACGTCGCGATGTTATTGGTCGTCTGTCAGTTAAGCCGTGATGTCATTGGCTATGAAGACTCGTAACCAGTAATTGGTGCGTTTCGATCCGTCTATTGTCACAGTTAAACAGTCGTATATTTTTAGTCAAATTGTCAGTTCTCCAGTCGTTCTCTCGCAGTTAGTTTTGCTTGATCTCGTCAATAAGCCGTTTGTACGGTGCTGGTAACTGTTGGCTACGATTCAGCGGCGTTTGTTCTAAGTTAGTAAACCAGCTTTCTAAAGTAAGACGTTGATAGTAGTCTGTAGAATACTCAGGGGCACCCAACGAGAATGTAGTTCAAAACCACTTAAACTAGCACCGTTGAACGTATTTTGGTATTTAAACGGTAGATATAGGCACATTTTTATCCCCTAAAAATTTTTGATCTGTTCGGATTTCCTAGCGGAAAGTCTAGTAATCCGAAAATTATAGGGATCAAAACTTACCTTTTCGAAAATTTCAGCCAGAAAAAGGGTCCCGAAAATTATAGGTGACCTTTTTAGGGTAAAAATCCGTTAAAAATGGGCAATTATAAGATTTTTGAGGGGCTCGAAAATCCTAGGAGAGGAGGAAGCAAGAAATTTCACAACAACTGTTCCCAAAATCTAGATCTCAATTAAAGGGGTGTCCGTGTTAAGCGGATTGAATTTAGAGAAAATGTAAGGGCGTCCTTTCCCCATCAGGGGCGGGGTTTGACTGAATTCGCAGACCATTCTTTAAGGAATAATGAGAGCAGACAGGGGTTGCTGTAACCTCCCCCTTACCTCTCGGCAGCGTAAACATTTTGTTTGGCAAAACATTCTCTTGTTCTTTCTTTACAAGGAAACCATCAGAATTGCACAAAGCAAAATATTGAGTTGTAGGACTCACATCTTTTGAACAACGCCGGCCTGTGTTCAAAAAAGCCAATCAACTGCTGGAATTTTTCACTATAGAAAGAAGCGGTACAACGTGTGTCCCATCATACCCCTCCGTATTAGCAAGATCACGCATAGACCTGATGGCCGAAGCCAGACGGGCGTTCTCCGATCTAACTGGTGCACAGTAGATGCTTTTGCGTCGTTCCCAAAGCTCCCTAGTTCGGGGTTTTCAGGACACAGAGGGTTCTATAACAGAGTGTGAAAGTCGTGCCTGTCAAAAATCACCACATTCACTATAACCTTTCCCAACACGGACATTATTGCTTTTAAATGAATAAATTGAGTGTTCGGAGTCGCATCTGTTTTCTTCGTCAGCGTTCTGCTTTTCCTTTGTCTGACAAAAGAGTTTTTTGGCTGTCATTTCGTCTAAGATGAAGCGAAGAAACACTTTCCTTATGGAACCAACTTTAAAAAAAACTGCAGTTTTTTACAGGCTACACTACACATGTCAAAGTACTGGTCACCGTGCTAAAAAAGAACATTGAATGAAAATCGTTCCTTGAAAAACAAAGTGTTTTCACGCACCTTATCAAAAGTGATTTTATCCTTGTCCGATCGCTACAAAATTTTCACAAATGATTGACTATGAATTGAAGTTTGTCAAAATACAGTTTTTAATATAATCGATATCACTATGACAACAATAAACCAACAATCTTGAAATCAATAGAATCAGAATTTTGCGCGATCCAAGTCTGGTGTTTAGTAAATAACCTCTGTGAGAAGTAAAAGATTCTGTATGTTTGAATTCAAATAAAACGAAAATATTTTTCAAACCTTATATTTTCAATAGCGGTGATCATATGTTCAATACAAAAGTTCTAAATACCTCACATTATAAATATTAAGTAGCGTCAAAAGCCATGGAGGTATGTATGGTGGGCATTAATTTGAAAAAAATAGACTAATTAGCATAACGTCAAAACAGTATGTTGTAACGCGGATTTTTGGCCGGTTCGTAGGCTAGGTTCGTCCTCAAATTTCAAGGTGTTTCAGTGAATCAATCTTAATGAAAATTTCAGACATTATTATATACATCATGAAGATTATGTGATGAGGTTTAAAAAACTTCTGTCGAGTCGTTGTAGAGATATTCAGAATAGCGCTAAAAGGTCCTAAAAGTCGAAATTTAGAACAAAGTTGCACTTAGACAGGTGGTGAGAAAACAAGTTAGTTTTCAGGATCGCAAGAAAAAAATACACCAAAATTTCCTAGCATCGAAATATGACAGTAAGCAGCCTCCTCACGCCACTTAAGATTAATTTACGTTATTTAGAAATTTTTATTAAATAATTTATGACGGCTATTGAAAACGTAAGGTTTATAATATATTTGCGTTTTATTTGAATTCAAAGATACAGAATTTTTTACCTCTCAAGGAGGTTATTTGCTGAACACCACACTATACCCCACACTATAAGTTCCTGGTGTCGGAGTTTCAGTAGCAGGTCTAGATCGCGCAAAATGCGGATTTTATCGATTTCAAAGTTTTTTGTTCATTGTTGTCATAGTGATATCGATTTTACTAAAAACTGAATCTTGACAAACTTCAATTGATAGTCAATCAGTGGTGAAAAGTTTTTAGCGATCGGACGAGGACAAAATCACTTTTAAGACGCTTGAAAAACATCGGTATGGTCTCCGAAAACCTGTATCGAAACACCATAATAAGCGACACTGAACTGTTTATACAACTGCCTTAATGATCTAACTATAGTACACTCTTTTTTTTCTATAAGAATATATTTTATAAGAATATCGAGGCTGAAATTTGCGAAATCTTAAGAATACTTTAAGAATAAACCCCAGGCTGAGATTTTGAAAAGGATATAATTTTGTGTGGTGAAAATCTATAAATACAATACAAATATACCTTTTCAATATTTATTCCTTTCTTTAAACGGCAAAACTAGCTAACTATATTTAACAAAACTATAATTGATACCTTAATATATTCTAAAACGGAAATGTCATGAGCTATTATTAAGAATAATACAAGAATATTTACAGCCTAAAATCGGCGGAAAAATAAGAATATTCAGCCTGGCCCGGGAAAACAATATTCTTATAAAAAAAAAAGAGTGTACTAAATAGCCTGTGACGCATACTTTATTTCTTTCCTTTTTTTATGCATTTTTTTAAAAAGGCAGGATTCAAAGTTTTGGAAGTAAGGCCCGGTTCAGACGCCGAACTTTTCATGAGCCGAACCTAATTCGAATTAAGGCCGACCCAAATTATTTAGACTGGCTAAATTGATTCAGACGCCGATCTTAATTCCAGCCGAACTAAATTCAGAAGGCGAAAAATGCGCATTTTGGTCAAACTGCTTACAAAATACGTTATAAGAATTTATGCATTAGGTTCGGTACATGAAAAGTTCGGCGTCTGAATCAAAGGCGTTCCAAAGTCGATCCAAAGGCGAAATTCCCGGCCAGGCTAGGCGAAAAGAACGGGTGAGCCGTTCCAAATTGAAACAGGCGTTCCTAATTGATTCAGACGCCGAACTTTTCATGTACTTAATTCAATGTATTAGGTTCGGCTCATGAAAAGTACGGCGTCTGAACCGGGCCTAAGACTCCAAGTACCGCGAAAGTACGACACAAAAAGATTAACGAGACTTCTTTGCTTTTGCATCATTATTCTCCATGAAAACCAGCATTTTTCTTCCTGTAGCTATCATGCAGAGAAATGGAATAATAATCCAGGTGCCATTTGGGATTATGTACAACAATATTGTTGTTCTCCAGTCATTGTGATTGATGTAGTGCTGACCACCACAAAGCGACGTGCTGAGGAGAAAGTACAGGATTGTTTTGGACCACGTCATTGTAGATACCATGAAAGTAAGCACTATGGACAGTCCTGCTTTTCCACTTACATGCTATAAAGAAAAGGAAGAAAAATAATATCAACTAACATTTTAGACTTTTGCGATTAGGAAAATCTCAATTTCGATCCTCTTTCTCGCCCTTGGCGATCAATTTTGGTGGCGCTTGGCTGACTTTCTGTGCTCTTCTTGCTGGGTTTACGCCGCTCGCTCGACTAACTTATGGACAGTCTATTAACATTTAGAGACTTTCTAAAATGGATGCCACAGTGGGATAAACCCAATTTCCCTACTCCATTCATGCACTGTTCTTGAACATTTTTAGGATTTACAAAGTTCCTAAACTTGAGGCCAGGGCCCTCCCTCAGTTTTTATGATTAGAGCGACGATTTCCAGTATTGAAAACTCTTTCAGCGCAAAGAGGATGACCTACCCTTCGCGGCAAAAGTATTTTAGACCCGTTATATATACAAACTGTTTGTGCTCTTAATTACGGAGTCCTGGGTGATAAAGACTGGAACACAAAGGAAGCACTCACAAAGAATTTTTTGGATATCAATGGCGTGTCGAGTCTGGGGTCAAACTTGAAAGATATAGATTGAGCTTAAAAAGGCCGGGGGTAAAACCCCCTGTTCACCCTTTACACATGTTCCCCTTTGCATTGTTATCAGCAAAAAAAAAAAGATAGTTACATGGGAAAAAATTTATAAACAAGGTGGAGGTGCTTTACAAAAATCTCTCCTCAAGTTCTGTTATAGCCTCCCTCGCAGCCGTTTTTAGTTTTCACACAGCGCTCCTTCCCAGCGCTCCTTTCCCCACCCAGCCCACAACCCCCGCAAAAAAATCACTTTGGAGAGCGGCCAGGTGTCTAGCACCAACAAAATTAATTTTCTGTTTTTAGAGTAAGATGTTAAACCCTAAGCCCTAAAAACATTTGCCATTTTAGAGGTAGAATTTGTACTGGTAAATATATTTTACATAAAAAGGATAAACATGTACAATGTATACTTACCAATGCTAATGTGAAGAAGTTCAGAACAACTTCTGCAAGGTTCATCCTAGAAAGAGAGACGAGAAAGAAGAAGCAAAAAAAAATTCACATTATGATTTGAGTACCAAAGTATTTAGCAAGAAAGCACTAGTTTAAGGACACTGCGGGACTACCATTTTACATGGCTATCCGAGCCATGCGAAGGTCTAGCCGTTTGCATGCAGGGCAAAGGTAGTACCTTCATTTATCAGTTATTTTAAGACAATGAATATTGGTCCGGCCGCAGGCAAACCTGCGACCTCCTGCCCTGCAGTCAAGCACTCTACTGAGTCGACTGAGCTAATCCTGCCCTGGTTATGATGGTCATAACAAGGCTATGATGGTCATCAAAAGATAAAATTGATCATATCATTCATAGCTTTTCCTAACATTGGTTCCCAATCACTAACCTTACCAATGATTACAGGAAAACTGAGTAATTATGAATTAAAAAAGTGATCTGGTAAAGCAAACCCCGGGCTGTCATAACTGACCACGACCACTTTTATGTGGGTAAACAGTTTTTCATTTGCTTGAACACCCCAGATGATCACTTAAACATTATCATCTATAAATAAGGGTACAGAATTGAACAGAAACTCTTAGAATAAACTCGGTTTCATCAAAATAAACCAGAAATTAAATTTGACATGTTATAAGATGGTGCAACTTGTATGTACCATCGAACCCCACTTTACGGACACCTACTTAACATGGGCACCTCGTTATTACAGACAGTTTTCTTTGTCCCTGGGCAAAGCTCTTACAATGGACACTTATTTCTTACCCAGTCAACAAATTCTCATTGAAAGCCAACCCTGATAATGAGGACATTTCATTATTAAATGTGTGCTGTAATAAACCTTTCCTTCTTGAAGGTAAAAATCCTTCAGTTGACAGCATGTCGATAATCCCAGAGCTACCATACACAGGACAAGATGATTTGTAGAGTCAATTTTTGTCATCGCACGAGTTATGCAGAGAAGGGTTTTGATTAAGTACTAATATAAGGGACTGATCGTGTTTTACGTCCCAGGGGAGGGGTTCAGAAAAGTGTGGTGTATCAAAACTTCACCTCCCCCCCCAAATAATTACATATGAAAATTGTACCCCCCTTGGCAATAACAATTTTATAAATGCACCCCCCCCCCCACCCTCCAACCCCGTCTAGACCAAGTCTCTTCTTCCAACCTTGGGCATTGATTTCATAAGCTAGTAGTTGGTAGCGTAGCGTGAGATTTTGAAGGTGCACGCAGGGGGAGAAAAGTTAGCACGCCGAAGGCACGCCAAACCTGAGGGAGTCTGGTAGCATGCTCCCCTAGAAAAGTTTGAAATTTGGGGTCTCGGAAATGCCATCTCCTGCGTTTTTTGCAGGGCAGTTTCTGTAAATAAAGGCGAACTAAAATGTAGTAATTAGTTGTTTACTTTACCCATCTATCTCTAGTGTTATCGGTAAGGTACAGACTGTTTACGGTAAAAAAGGGTAAAACAGTGACGCCATCAAAGGCGTTACAAGCAAAGGGCGAGATGTGTACCCTTTAGACGGGCAAACTCTGTTATAATGCCATCAATATCAATTACATCCTTGTGCTTGTGTATGTGCAGAATTGCAAGAAAGCTCAGTCTCTCCTCTGTCATGGTTCTTCGTAAAGGAGTTTGCAGTCTCTCCATGCCGCTGAAGCTACACTCAGCTGTGCATGTTGACACAGGATAAAGTCAACAAAGTTATGAGAGTTACATTATACTCCTGGATAGAATTATAGTTGCCTTGGTCAAAAGTCTCAACCAAGGTCTGTGGCTTCACATTCGGATCCATTTCACTCCACTTAAAGGAAGTCCTAACACAAAACCACTAATATTATGCCAAATATTTATCCCAATTTAATGATAAAAATGCTCTCAGGAAATAAAAAAAATCTACATATTTTTTCCAGACTTCAACTGTATGTATAGGCATATGTGCGTACATGCATGGTACAGTCCTGGTAGCAGAAATAGCTGATAGGTTTCTGGGCCAAGTTTTATACGGATAACATTTTGTTGCTGATAAAGAAACACTGAGGCAAATTTTTTTGTCTACTTCTGAAGGAAACATGGATTTGCTTCAATCATAATATAGTTTGACAACTTTTACCTCGAAGGCCAGCCCTGTGTCTTAATATTTCGACCCCCTAACATTTTGTGCATTTTCAAAATTGACCCCCCAAAATCAAGTCTCTTAGAAAATTGTACTCCTCCTCCAAAACCCCTGCCCCCCATCCCCCCTCCCTCCGGGACGTAATAAGCGATCGGTCCCTAAATGAGCGATTTTTAGGTGTTTCTGCATACTTAAATCACGTAATGACGGCTCTTTGAAAGTTAGAGAAGTTTAATTTCACAATGCTTATGTCCTCTTTTACTTCTTTGGTATTTTGTTGAGGTAAAAGAGTTTTTTCTGACTTGGATAACATGACCCGCTTAATACGGACACCCTATTAATATGGACACTTTCTGCAGTCCCTTCAGTGTCCGTATTAACAGGGCTTGATTGTAAAAGGAAACTGTACACAATTTATACCCTTTTAAGTAAATAAGTAGATGTGTCAGCATACATGCTCCTAGCTCGGAATGAACCGAATGGTACAACTCTCATTAGTGGGTTTCAGCCCTTTGGATGTTTCCTTTCAGGAGTTTGACAGTACATGTATCTCTTAACAGCTATTAGTAACTTGTCTCCCTTGGTCTCAATTGCTTTGTTTTGTTTCACTTTCTCGACAAATGGTCTTTGCATTAACTGACTGATGACCCCGGAAATCCAGTGGTTTTTTAACCTATAAAAGAAGATTCTATTCACCTGTCAAAGAGAGGACACCATGTGATAAGGGCTGTTTGGTAAAGATGAGAGACGTTTGGGTAAAGAAGGAGACTTAATCATCCACTGTCAACAACAATATTATTATACATTCATAACATTCATACATTCATAACAACATTGTATATTTACAAAAGTATGTTTTTAAGGTGACCTTGGCAATTTAAAGTATAACCCCTTCATAAAGACCTCACCAGCTTACTCCAATAACAAATGCATCTTTTAGGTCCTTGTACCTTTCATCGACTTCAATATAAATGTTATCTACAACAAAAAAGCAATAAATGGTGACATCTTTATTGCCTAACAATGAATACCCCCTATGGATCAAAATAATGATGTCTGAAATTAAAATATGGCACTCTCTAGCCTAAGGTACAGTCCAGCAAGTTCAGTCATTTTGCATTTATATTTGCACAATCACTGAGAGTTATAAGCATGCCTTGTCTTTCATAAGGTGTTACCATGTACAGTATATCTCCTTTGTCTTCACAGTCTTGTTGACACAAAAGTTTGGTTGACTTATTTTTTTACATAAAAAACTGAAAGCAGTGACAGTCATCAACAAACCGCGTCCAAAGACTGCTGATTGCTTTAAGGCATTATAAAGAACTTTACACATGGTTTTCTATGTTAGACCTCTCCAGTGTTACTGGAAAAATCTGCCCAAATAAGGGAAAGTGATCTACTGAGTTTAAGATTACAGTGAAAGGTCTCTTAACGGACACTCTTGTAAGCCGATAGCTCTACTTAAGGCTGTATTTTCGTTTTTTTGGCGCTTTCTTTTCTCTACTCTTTCACAAAAATGAAGGTGTACACTGTTTTGCGATGAGAGAACAACTGGTCAAAGGTAAAGACCTTACAAGACACACCAAGGAGTAGATGGCCGGGTTTTTTTAACAAACTGTGTGAAAAATGTTATCGAAAAAGCTGTAAGTATATGCATAATAATTCAACAAGACTGCAAGGTAAGTTTCGAGCACAACAGTATGGAGATATGTGACCAACAAAGGTTGGAAAGCCTTGAAAAGAAAAAAAGGCGGTGCACACTTCATGCAGGCATGGCATCATGACATACAAAGATCCAGCCCCCAAAACACTGGACTAGCTAAGACAGCGACCCCGCTTCACCTGGGAAATTGTGAATTTAGACACGCTATGGGAGCTCGTATATTCTATACCT